TCACTTCCACCTGGGAAGGCCAATTACTGAGGAAGTGATTTAGAGAATTTTAATACTTTTTCTTGTTAGTGGTTAATATAAATAGTTGAGATGACATGTTGTTATGATAGCATTGCACAAGTCAGCAGCAATGTTGAGCGAGAACTTCACACACACAGCATGTAGGTCACCTAGTGAACACCTTGTTGCTCTTACTTTCTATTTATTACCACTATGAAGTTGAAGGTTTGGCATTAACGTTTTGTTGCCAAATGAGTAAGCACATTATATAATATATAATATATATATAATTTATAATATATATATTATAAATATATATATATAATATATAAATATATATTATATATATATAATATATATATATATATATATATATATAATGTGCGTTAAATAGCAACGCTCATCTTGCCATATAAGACAAGCGAAAATCTGTGTATGCAATAATTTCGCAGAAATCATTCTGAACCTAACGAAAAAAAATATACTTCATTGTGTTTGTTTATTATTAAATTATTGTAAACGTATCTAAAATATATTTAACTGGATTAGGCTAAAATAAATTGCGCTTGTTATAATAAGGTTCGGTAAGTTTTCTCAGGTTCTTTTGGTACAAAATTATTAATTCTTACATTAACATAAATAAAAAAAATATCTTTAAACGTATAAGAGAAAATTATCGAAAAGATTTAATTTTAAATGAGTTTTTGCTAATTGACCAGTTTTACGTGTTCGGCACGACACACACACACACACACACACACACACACACACACACACACACACACACACACAGCTCCTCTGAAGCTGGATGCGAGCCAAGTACGCAGCAAGCATTTTCCCTCGGTATAGTCACACCGAGGCGCTGGAACATAAAAGTGGCCGCCCTCAGGTTCCTGGTGGTATCAGTGAGTATGGAACCCAATTCTTTGAGGAAACGTGGGGCGTTTTTTCCTCATGATCTCAAGGTCTCTGACCCCTCTGAGACAAATTGATACCGATGGCTTGTGTCTCTGTACTTGCTGATCTTGTACTCCTCCCTATGATCATCATGTCCCTGTTGCCCAACACTGTAGGTGTCAGCCAGCGTCGACACGCAGGATAGTCCCAAGCTAAAACTTGCCATTCTTCCAAGGGTAGATGGTGATCCCGTTGGGGTGGTTTGCGGGATTGTGAGTATTGGTGCCTCATAAGGATCGGGCTCTCGCTTGGATGGGCATCCAGCTGTAGCTGCAAAGTTTGGGGTTTGAAACGTGGTGGTGGTGCGTTTGAAATAATACACAACTGCTCTGAACGGAGTTTATTGGTAGATATGTGTCGTCGACACTGGTATGTAATTTATTGCAGCCTTAAAAATCGGGACTACATTTTCTGTCATCCACACCTCAGGCAGTTGTGCGCGCGCGCGTGTGTGTGTGTGTGTTTGTGTGTGTACTCACCTAGTTGTGATTGTAGGGGTCGATTCACAGCTCCTGGCCCTGCCTCTTCACTGGCAGGTTCTGAGTCACTCTCCCTGCACCATTAGCTTTATCATACCTCTGCTTAAAGCTATGTATGGACCCTGCCTCTACTACATCGCTTCCCAAACTATTGTCATGTGGGTTCGATAATATGGATGGGGTAAAAATACTCACATAGGCTGGTTAGTACGTATAATATATAACGGAAGGTATGGGAAGCGCCGTCAGCCGACCTGCCTCTCTCTGCTCCCTATCTCAGACTGACCCACCAGTGCCTAGCGGGTAAGCATTCAAAAATGTGCTATGGTCAGCAGCAACGTGAATAACAGTCAGTGATTCACACAGACGGTTGGTAGTGAGTCATCTACTGGTAACTGGTACTACTGAGAGCTCGGCGACGCTAACGTATGTCGTCCCGACATACAGCTAATACAAACTAGAGACGGCAGGCGTACGGCTTGGGCTGATTCTATACAATGTCAAAGTACACAACAATTGAACATTATAACATAAGGAGAATATTGGAATGGAAGCTTACTCAATTGACTATAATGAAACTGTAATGGTATGATATAGCACAACTCATCGAATGAGACTCAACATTGGGATTACACAATAGAAGTGATAAAAAAAATATTTGATCGATCGATCTGCATTCATGTGATCTACGGATTCTGAGGAAGAAATATATACAAAGAAAGAAGTGTTTAACAGAAAGGCAGATTCGGTGGACTGAAATCTAGACTGTTAAATCTCAGAATTCGGAGAGAACGTGAACACACAAAAAAATTCTTGAATACTGATAAGTTGATACTGTAATTATTCATCTATACAGGTTATTTACATTTAACCCCAACTCTGCCAGGGTGAGATTGACATATGCAGAATGGGTGTCATCTCTGGGAGGATCAAACTCTGTTGCACTGGCTAACTCATGCCGTATTTGAGGCAAATCTGAATTGGTAGTTACAAATGATACTTGAGGATTTCTCAATACCTGTCGTGTACGTAGGGAATAACGACATTCAGGTTGATCGTCTGACTGAGTATCAGAGGAAGAGAGTACAGGATCAGGAGGATTGTCAGAGTCTGTC